CTCAGTATATGTTTCTTGCACGTTTCGATGCTTTGGCAGCCGCTATACTGTTGTCTGCGTTTCTTGGTTCCGCAGCAGGACCATGCACAAAAGTTCAAGATGTCAAGAAACCATGACAGTAGTTTTCAAACAAATGCGCTCGGCTGTGAGGTCCATGTTGTAGCAACGAGTTGCTGCAACTTGACGCAGGTAGCAAGTTGGTAATTTCGTAGAATTACTGATTGATTTCATGCAGAGACGATACATAGAATCAACTGACTGGTTTGTGCGCGTCGCTAAAACGTGGTTCTTCAGCCGACCCACGAAATGCACGTAGTCCTGCAGTCTTTCGCGAAACGGTTCTTTTCCAGTCTTGCACGAAGCGTTCACTGCACTACCCCTGCACACAGCAGACTTCATTATAAGCCCCGCCTCGGATAGCGTAGCCCCCTTTCTACAGCGAACAAAGTTTACACATCAGACGCACTATATCCTATTATAATATCTAGTTACACGAGTTTTTCGCCATTTCCTTGTATCATACATATGCATCGTTGACTGCACTATGACACGAGTGACTCCGCCCCCGACGACCCCTCCCTCTTATTAGAGGATGAAATGGAAAATAGGACTCGCGATTGCATGATTTGTTTCTACCTCTTGTTTTAGGACTGGAACTCCCTAGAACTTTAGTTATATGTGATTGATGTTTTAATTATAAATTACAAAGTTTGAATCATACGAGATTAACTCTTGAATTTCGTAATTCATATATTGTTGCAGATTGTGAGTGATCAAACGGCCGTGTCCACCGGCTATCCATCTCCTGGTCGTACGACTGTCGCTAGAACGCCGTCACTATCGAAATCTCACCGAATGTGTCTGGCCTGTTTTGAAGATGGTAAATTTGTGAAAGCAAAAGGCAGTTATAAAAAAGTGGATTGGGAAACCGTTCAACGAGGTGTTGAAGTGGTACTGTAGCGAAATGGTTGTGTTGTATATTCCATATGACTTCGAGCTTGTTCTTATACTTTGTGGTGAAGGAAGAAGGATGCTCTGATATAATAAGCTGACATTTATCGGTATGAAGAAACCATCTAATCATTTTGGGTTTTAGGGTTGGGTTTCTTTGAGGGGAAAATTTGTAATTCTAGTCCAAGTTAATAAGAATTTTGATTCTTCTTTCAGAATGGGGTCATTTTCATTGTTCATTTCATTAAAAGGAATTGTGGGGATCGCGGGCAACTTCTTCCGTACGGGTTGGATACATGTATAGTCATTGTCTGCTTAACAAACGTGCGCTTACAAATGGCACTTTCTTAATTATACCATTTTCCATAAAACAATAAATTTTATTTGGCCCGGCAATTGTTGGCTTTTTTGCTTGGCATTATGCGCTATGGCGAATGCCTGCTGGCAGAGTCGTGAGTTGTGTGGGCAAGGCGTTTCATCAGCCGGGTCGCGAGCCCGTGCGGGGCTTTTTGTGCTTCCCCTACACGTCAAATACACTCCATATACCGGAAATGAGGTGGGCGTGGCTGCGCACCTTATTTGAGCCTGGCAGCAGCTGCGATTTAAGGTTGGATATCCCGTTTCGGGACAATCAGACTCGTGTCTTCATCGACTACAAGGCAGAATATAAAGTTGGTATCCAAAGGCATATCCGAGGAAGGAAGGCCATACTACGTCACTTTCAAATGGAGCAGCGTCAGCACGCCTACTTCATCTGCCGCAGATACGGAGTGTACATCATCTAGAATAGATGCCGTTTTAACCATAACAGAAGCTTTGCTAATCGTATGGTTCAATGGCTTCGACCGTGGGCCTTTCCTCATAGACGCGATTTTGCTCTTTATTATCTGTAAACCATCGATTAAAAAGTGTAGTGGTCCATGTGATCGTCGTCGTGAGGGGCGACTACGCATGGTAATTTGCTCCAGTCTTGGTATTTATGAATCAAACCAAGAGGTTGGCACGAATAAATTGACAAGGTGCATGAGGGTATATAAAGCAAGCACGTCAGATGTACTGAGCCCCTGGTGGGGTGGCCCCGCTGTGTGGGCGCTTTTACCAACGGCATGGTGTCCTTTACAGAGGCTAAACAAAAGGTGTAACATGTGCCAACTAGATGCCCTACGCTCAAGCCTGCTGCCCACAAATGGTCGCACAGCCACATCAGTACTGATACTATTACCAATTCGTTTACAAAGTACAATTGATATGAAGCAGCTGCAATATATGAACATGGAAAACTCGTCTTGAAGTTGTTTACTGCCACCGTAGACTGGCTTTCTGCACAGGTTTTTTGACCTCACACTTTTGCTGTTTCATATTTTTCCAACGTATAGCCCTCCTAACTCACTTTTATAATACCCATTAACAATTACGGCATATATCGCACCTTTGAATTGTGAATGTGAATCTTATGTATAGTTTTAACATTGCAAGTTGTCGGGGGCGGAGAGCGCAGCGCGGCGCGAGCTCGAGTCCGACCGGCTTGCTCTATAAAGTGTGATCGAGCAATGATCGATGTAGGAAGGAATACTCAGTGAATGGGGAAGGGGCAGGTGGGAATGCTGATTGAGTTCCGCGACTGCTCGCGGTGATATAAACGGTAGGCGATAGCTTTAGAGTATACAAAACCAGGGTCCATCGTTGGTTGTGGAAAAGGAGATCGTGTCGCGCAAAACAACTTCGGATGTTGATTTTTCTAGCCTTCTGGAAAGATTCCGTCCGGCGAGATGCTCGCTGTGAACGGGAAGTCACCGAGGAAGAATTTGCTTAAACGGGAGTATGGGGAGCAAAATACCTCCACAAAGCAGTGTTATTCCGGCGATAAGGGCAGTCCAAACCAGTGGAGACGCATTGCTGGCAGGCAACCGTCGTTTTGTGGAAATCACAGGCGGGGGTCGTATTTGACCGCGAGGGCAGGGGGGGGCCTAAGTACAGGGAAGATTCGGAAGTGAGGAGAGCAGCGATATACAGATGTTGTACATCCACTGAATGATAAGAAATTTATTCATGGTTCCTGTTGTCAAGGACACCTGAAGAGAAACCTGATGGCAGAGGCAAGCTGCCAGCTCAGACAGGAATGGTGCACAGTGCTCGGGGGGGAGGCTGGCCATTTGCAATGAGATGCACATCGTTGTACCCGTCTTGAGACGGTGAACTCAAAACTATCTTCAAAATTTGCGGAACGATTCTCTGAGCGGAGTTAGAGAGGTTTTTCTTTACTGTTTTTCTTCTTACGGGCGCGCTGGCCGCAAAGCGTTGGCACATGTAGTGCGACTCACAGGTCGCTTCCTCGCCTACTAAGGTATGAATATTCTGTATTTCAGGGGAACCCCTAGAGACGAGACCTCAGCGAAATCTGAGGTTCTGGCTCAACTTCAAAAAAATGGGGTATGGATAGTCATGGCTGACTGATAGCTAACAGCGATACTATGACTAGCATACTGGTGATGACTGGTCTTCGAACTGAAATAACTCTCAGTACCTGGCTTACTTATTTGTGCCGTCTGCATCATTTACTTGACTATCGGGAGAAAATCCCATTCCGAGACCAGTAATCGGTTAGTAGGTGAGCTCCAATCTGCTGCCAATCCCATGGAATAGCCCACATTTTCCAAGTGAGGTCGAAAAATCAGATTCGGCTAGAAACTTGTCCCTAGGGGTAATTTAACCCGCTGAACATGAATATGATGGTATTTCATTGCAAAAACCCTCGTGACACGTGTTACGAGGGGTACAAGCAGAAGCACTCCTTCAGGCCACAATGAGTCTACACTTAAAAAAAAACTGGTCGCAGGTTCCCTTATAAGGTAGTGCAGGCGAGCGTAAGCTTAGTTCATAGAATCGTTCCGCGGCAAATTCTGAAGGTAGACTTTTGAGTTCAATGTCCGCAGACGCGTACAACGGTGTGCAAATGCATGCATTGTAGATGCAAGGCACCTGCTCATCTTTTCCTGGTCAGACGGGTGGAATGGCATGACAAAAAGGGCGCTATCACGACATCATGACTCTGGTAAACCAACGAAGCGCGTCTGCACTAGACTTCGTACCGTAAGACCCCATCTTTTTGCCGTGGAAGCATCCGAAGCTTCAACCACAAGCACTGCATGGGAGTCGGATTCATGGCACAATATAGAGGTAAAACCAATTGGCGCCGAGGGGAATATTCCGTGGTAACTTCGACCAAAATATGTGTTCTAGAAGTTTACTCAAGTCTTTGAACATTCTAGATTCTAGAAGCCTAATCGGGTCTGCAAACAACCTGAAAATATCACAAGAATGCTGAGTTGTGGGCAAAAGTCGGACCACGGACGGGACGGGAAAAAACCTGAAAGTAGCACTGCGCCGGAGGTGTGGGTTTTTCGCGAAACTGTCAACAAAAACACATTTTTCTAATTAGCAGGACCAGGGAAAAAGAAGTGCTTCTTGGGAGAGAGTTTTCTAGATTCCGGCACTGTTCCTGGTTTTACCCATGAAGCATGTGACGGCTGTTCAAAGCATGAAAACTCGCAGGTGACACTAAAATTAAACAACGGCGTCACAACTGGGGAATTTCCTTGGAAGGGATTTTTTAACGCCGCTCAAGCTCGGCTAATAAGTATCGGGCCTATAGTTTCACAATCCCAATTTACCCTCTTCAGAAGCTCTACTCTCAAAGAAATTATGGATCCTCAAATAGGGTACCTCCAGAGTCCCTCGCCTGTTTTGAAAATATACGCAAATGCGTGTCAGGGGCTGGGTTTAGCGCGTCGCCAGCCCTCTCCCTCAGTTGCTGAAGCGTGCAAGCGACAACAATTGGGTAAAGCTGACTGGCGCCGAGCCCTGACGTGCCCGAGTTACGCTACGAACCAAAACTATAGCTTTTCCCAGCTAGCCGACGTAACAAATTGTAGCGCCTGCGTGCTAAATCAATCAAGCTTGGTGCAAGTGCCGCGCTTGCGGCCGCTCGCGGCGGGTGAGGCCATAGTCAGAGTTCCTTGGTCTACAGAATGCGCACAATTATGGTAACAGTCCTCGGAAAAGGCTCATGGATTTTCTTATGGCACTCTTTTTCTGATTCTTACCGCTCCTATTACATTTATCGTCTATTTGTATATTGTTCCGAACGTCTTAAAAGCTGTCCTTCGTCAGTTCAAAGGAACAGTGAAGCTTGTGCGCAACGCATCGCCAATTAGTGAATTCTGCCTTTGCCTGGCGGATTCGTTCCCGTCATCGGTCTCGTTTCAACATCCTACAAGTAACCATTTCACAAGTCATGAGGCATTTTGGTCAAAAGTAGACTTCAATCCACCTCTGATACACTACCCAGCAGAAGAAATCGTCAGGAAAAAAACTAATTGCAAGACAATGTAAAAATTGTTGCACACCTCAGTTGCGCGGCCGCACCTCGCTACACTCATCACAGAGGAAAGATTTCGAAGTAGAAGAGAAGTCTAGCTCCCAGAACAGTCCCATATGAATCGCAAAACTGACGAGTAAAGCCGGAGGGTTTCGTTCTGTCCTCTGCGGAACTGTATGCTCTAAGGCAGCCTTCGGTCGTGCGTTCGACACGAATCGATACGCCAGGGCACAGCATTCGATGGGGATTTTGGTCGAGCCTGTACGACCCCCCCCCTTTTTTTGGGGGTTCGGTACGACCCCCCCCCTTTTTTTTGCCGTTCGGTTTTTTTCGCCTTAAATGAAACTATGAAACTAACCTGAGGTGAACTCCCTCTCTGGGAGCGGCCATCAGCGACCACAGTGTTAACAACGTCTATTCCCAAGATTGAGGACGAGGAAAAGAAAGTTAGGCTTGTCTCACTACGTAACAGTTATACAAACCGCCGTAAAAATGCATTACCCCGATTATTGGAGTACGGTAGCAGAAGCGCATGTAATTGCGGCTGTGACAGGAGATTATTCGGCAATTTTAGCCATGGAGCGAGAATTTCCAGCTGAGGGGGTGTCTTTGAAGGACCATAACTTCCTCA